GTTGCCGTCCTCTCTAGCGCTGCAGTCAATGCTACACCTACAGCTGTTGGAGTGGCGCCCGCGCCGGCCGCCGTTCCGCCGCGGGACATGGTGGGAGTCGTAGTCGTTGGCTCTGCTCAATGCTGCGCCTACAATTCCCAGCATGCCTTGCGCGGCGCCATTTTGTGGCAGAGCGCGGCTCTTTCAAAACGGCTCCACAAGCGGAGGTGAGAGCTGTGGGGATTGAGGCGGGTTCCTGGCAGGAATGGGGCAGGTTGAGGTGGGAGTGAGGCACGATGAGGCCCCTTTAAAGGGTTCATTCTATGTGGTGACCGCGTCTTGTGAGGGAAAGGGGCGGTGATAATGGCGGCTTGGTGGGGGGGACGGGGGGGATAGTGACGATGAGGGGTAAATGCTGATGCTGCTGTGGGGCTTACGTGGGGCTGATGGTGCTGAGCATCCTCTCCTATATCCTTCCCCCCCCAGTTTCCGCTGCTATTCCCAATCCCATCCCTTCATTCCCTGCGTTGTGCTTCACTTTTTAGCCCAATGGTCATCCCAAGGGGACCCATCCTGCTTCATGTCATAGATGCTGAGTAACCCCTTTAGTGCATGTTATTCCTTGTTTTTTCCTTGTAGACGCATGGGGAAGTTTTGCACGTGGATCATGGCCAGAAAACGTGGATCAGCCCCTGCATCCCCAGTGTCCTCCCTCCTTACTCCCTGGAGCAGCAGCTATTCCCAGCCCTATTCCATCCTTTACAAGGAGCATCCCTACAGCTCCGCATCGGAAGCCTTGGAAGCCTACATTGAGGACTTCAACCTGAGCCAAGCGTCTCCCTGTGGAAGCGTGGGGAAGATCTGCATCCATGGGAGCATCCCTAAGGAAACCAGGCTTCCTGAGCACTGTGCCAAGGAAAAAGAAAGTAGCGATTGCTCCTTTCCCCCCCTCTTCTTCCCTTTCACTTTTCTCTCTTCCCTTTTCCCTTTCCCTTTTTCCTCCCACTTCCCCCTGTCCCTTTCCCTTTCTTTTTTCCCTTTTCCCCCCCTCTCCCCCCTTTTTCCCCCTTTCTCCCTCCTTCTCTCCCTTTTCTCCTTCTTCTCCCTCTTATTCTCCCTCTTTATCCGCTTTCTTCTATCATCTCCTGCCCCATTTATCCTTGTATTGGACTAACCCATGGAATATTCCTTTGTTTTCCAGGCCTGGAATCCTTTCCTCCACACCTCAGCTTGGAATTCCTTCCTTCCTTGTGTAGGAGATCCAAGGAACCCGATCCTGACTCCATCAGCCTTACAACAGAGGACCTTTTAGCCCTTCCACCGGATGGATCCCAGCCTTTTCCCAATCCCATTCCATTAAAACCTGGGAATCCAGGTGCAGAATCCCTAAAAACCTCTTCCTACTCTTCCCAAACCTCCTCCCTGTGTTGGGGAAAAGCTTTGAATCCCCATAGGAATCTAGGGAGGAAAAAGCTGCCCAATGGCTCCAAAGGAAGTCCAAAGCCTTTGGAAAAGTTTTCCAAGACTTTTCCTTGGAGTGATGATTCCGAATGGCTCACAAACCTCAGCGGATCCGGGATAAGCAGCATTCGTACTCCCTGTCCAGTGTGGCTTCAGACCTGCAACCTTTTCAGCAATCCAGCTCCAAATGGGACCAACCAAAGCCAAGCTTCCTCATCCCAGATCCGGAAAACAGAATCGCCCCATCGAGACTATTCCCACTTTTCTCTACCTTTTTCCTTGCATCCAAGAGGTGATAACAGGGACGGAAGTTGCTGCTCTGACCTTACATGTGGATGGATTCCAAAGGATAACTCCTCTTTGGACCATGCTAAGGTGTTGGGAGGTACCTATGGATTCCATGGCATTTCCATTCTAATTCAAGGGGAACACAACCTCTAATAGGGAAAAGCAGCGATTCCTACTTATTCCCGAAGATTGCCGTTCCCAAAACTCCTCAATTCCTACTAAAGGAGTAGTTTGGGGCCTCACTGTCTTACACCTTGTAGTAGTTTTCCTTATGGATAATATGGGAATGATGCCCTTATTTCAGAGCACCAACTCCTCACCTCGAAGGCTCTTCCAGAGGCTTGGAGCAGAGATGGAATCAGTATGGAAAGGGGCAGTATTCCCACTACAACAGAGATCTTGGGATCATGGGAAGAGCCTCCGAGTACTTTGTAAGGAACCAGAATCCCTTTTCTCCACCTGGAATGTTCCAATAGTATCCCTTTGAGTATGGATTATGATGGGGGATGCACAGAAACAATGGGATTCTTCCCAATGGATACTCCATGGGGAAGCTATGGGGCTCCCATCCCACTCTCTGCATCCCAAAGCCATTCCCATAGGTCCTAAACCTCTTCTTCCTCCCCATTCCATGTTCCTGGAGCGACCCTGCTGCGTGTTGTGAGGCTATGGATGCTCCTCCGTCATTCCCAAAGGCAAACCTGATCCATAAATTCCTGGAAGATTGCTTGAAGGACAGCTACAAGGTGAGTAAATGGGAAGAATTCCCAAAAGAGGGAAAACTGAGAGATTTTAGGAAGACTTGGATGCTCTATGCGGGAGGCAGCGGGCGGGCACTAGGACCCTGCTGCAGGAGGCGGGGGGCGGGCACTGGGACCCCGGAGCGGGAGGGAGCGGGCGGGCACTAGGACCCGGCTGCAGCAGGCGGCGGGTGGGCACTAGGACCCGGATGCGGGAGGCAGCGGATGGGCACTAGGACCCGGGAGCGGGAAGCAGCGGGCGGGCACTGGGACCCGGGTGTGGAGGCAGCGGGCGGGCACTGGGACCCGGGTGTGGAGGCAGCGGGCGGGCACTAGGACCCGGATGCGGGAGGCAGCGGGCGGGCACTAGGACCCGGATGCGGGAGGCAGCGGGCGGGCACTAGGACCCGGATGCGGGAGGCAGCGGGCGGGCACTAGGACCCGGGTGCGGGAGGCAGCGGGCGGGCACTAGGACCCTGGTGCCTGAGCTGCGCAGTGCTCGGGGCCGGGCCCTGGCGGCGATGGCGGCGGCGCGGAGGTGGAGGCCGGGAGCGCGGGGTGCGCGCGCAGCCGCCGCCATCATGGAGTGCGCAGATGGGGGAGGGTCCGTGCGAGGAGCAGCCATTGCCTGGGGTGGGGGGGAGGAGGAGGGAGAGCGGGAGCGGTGAGAGAGGAGCATGGAGGGGAGAGGGGGGGAGAGGGAGAGGGAGAGGGAGGTGGTAGAAGAAGAAGAAGAAGGAGGAGAAGGAGAACGAGAAGGAGTAGTGGAGGAGGAGGAGCAGTGGTGGAGGCCGCAGCAAGGTGGGTGCTTGGGGTGCTCGGGTTGCTGGGGTTCTGGGGGTGCAGTGGGTGCTGTGGGTTCTATGGGAGCTGGAGCTGCTGGGAGTTCTGGGGGTGCTGTAGTTGCTATGGGTGCTGGGGGTTCTATGGGTGCTGGGGGTGCTATGGGTGCTGTGGTTCTATGGATGCTTTGTGTGCTGGAGGTGCTGTGAATGCTGTGGGTGCAGCGCTGCTTTGGGTGCTGGGGATGCTGAGGATGCTATAGGTGCTGTGGGTTCTATGAGTGCTGGGGTTCTATGGGTGGTGGGGGTGTTACTGGTGGGTTCTGTGGGTGCTGCTGGTACTGGGACTGCTGGGGGTTCTGGAGGTGCTGGGGTTCTGTGGGTGCTGGGTTTGCAGTGGGTGCTCCCTCCCCGTCCCAAGTCAGCCCAAGCGCCCAGCCCCAATCCCCATCCCCTGGCAGCGCCTCCGGGTCCCGGTGCCTCCAGCTCTCCCCTTCCCTCCCGTAGGACCCAGCGGGAGCTGGCGCCCCCCTGCGGGCAGCAGCGTCATTGCGCACCTGGACCTCGACTGCTTCTATGCGCAGGTGGAGATGCTCCGGGCCCCGGAGCTGAGGGACAAGGCCTTGGGTAGGAGGAACCTTCCTGATGTTCCCTATGGCAGCATCGTCCTGGATCCAGTGGGAGCTTTCCCGCTCTTCCTTTATCCATTGGGAACTTTCCCGCTCCTCCTGTACCCAGCAGGAATTTCACCCCCCCCGATGTCCTCCTTGTTGTAGGGGTGCAGCAGAAGTCCCTCGTGGTCACGTGTAACTACGAAGCCCGGCGCCATGGGGTGAAGAAGTTGATGTCCCTCAAGGAAGCCATGGAGAAGTGTCCTCACTTGGTGCTGGTCAATGGAGAAGACCTCACTCCCTACAGGGAAATGTCCTACAAGGTCACAGGTAGAGGGCAACTACTTTGGTATATCCCGTAATAGCAGTATCTGATGTTCTCCTCTTCTAGAAGGACACCTACTATGGGTTACTCCAACCTGGCCTTGAAGCATGGGTGGAGCAGCCCCAGCTTCCCCATCCAACCCACCCCATGTCCTACAAGGTCACAGGTAGAGGGCAACCACTTTGGTGCATCCCATAATAGCAGCATCTGATGTTCTCCTCCTGGAGGACACCTGCTACTAGAGGCTGCTCCAAGCTGGCCTTGAACCAGGGATGGAGCAGGCCCAGCTTCTGTATCCAACCCCTCCCAATGTTCTACAAGGTCACAGATAGAGAAGAATCACTTTGGTACATCCCATAATAGCAGCATCTGATGTTCTCCTCCTTGAGGACACTTGCTACTAGAGGATGCTCCAAGCTGGCCTTGAACCAGGGATGGAGCAGCTCCAGGTTCTCCATCCAACCCATCCCATCCCAGTGTCCCACCACCCTCACAGGGAAGAGCTATGGACATAGGGATGGGTTGTCCAGAGAGGTTGGAGCATCCTTCTCTAGTAGGTGGCCCTATTGGAACTCCATGAGGTCGCAGGTCACTTCCATCCATAGGGAGCCATCAACCTCTTGGAATCAGTTGTATCCCTCTTATCCCGGGTTGTCTTCTCCTCCTAGAGCTCCTGCGGGAATATTGTCCATTGGTGGAAAGACTTGGATTGGATGAGAACTTTCTGGATATCACGATGTGGTGGAGCAACGTGTAGGCCGCTTCCATCCAAGTGGGTGGGCTGGGATCCGTGTCTCAGGCCATGTCTACAAGCACCAAGGTGAGTAGCCCATGATCCACCTTGGCTTCGGAATAGCTGGAGAAGTGGACTTGGGAATGTCCAAGTATCCTGGAATCATGGAGTAGCTTGGAAAGAACCTTCAGGGTCCATGGAGGCATCAGAGTGGCTTCAGTGGGCAAAGGGGCTCTGGAAAGATGGAGAAGGGCTTTGGATGAAGAGCTGGAGGGATGGGACCATGGGAAGGTTGGGATGGGATCTTGGGAAGTTCATCCCCATGAGGCTGGTGGGACAGTGGGAATCTTGGGAAGTTTCTCCCCACAATGCTAGTGCGACAGTGGGAATCTTGGGAGGTTCGTCCCCATGAGGCTGGTGGGACAGTGGGACGTGAGAGATGTCCCATCCCCAAGGCCAAGCTGGAGATACCTGCACTTCAAGCTCCATCCATCCCATTCCATGATCTAGGAATGTGCTTCCACTTGATCCAGGCGACCAAACCCTCCTGCAGGACCGGAATGCCACCACCCCCACCCCCTGGAAAATCCATGGAATTAGGTTGACTCCCCGCATCCTCCCCTCTTCCTTCTTCCCAGCCATCAGCGTGCAGGATCCAACCCATCGGAGGCTCGCCATTGGATCCCAAGTGGTGGAAGAGCTCCGGGAATGCCTTTACTCCACACTGGGCCTCAGCAGCAGCACTGGGGTGGCCACCACCAAGCTCTTGGCCAAGGTGGTCTCTGGGACCTTCAAACCCAACCAACAAACCCTGCTCCTACCTCACAGCACCCAGGAGCTGCTGAGGAACCTGGGGCCTATCTGGCAGGTGCCAGGTAGGTGCTGGGGTCCCATCCAGAAGGTGCCAGGTAGGTGCTGGGGTCCCATCCAGGTAGGGGCTGGGGTCACATCCTGGAGGTGCCAGGTAGGGGCTGGGCACCCCAGGGAATTCATCCTTGCATTAGACCCAATGGTTGCGGTGTCCTTTAGGAGGCCAGGAGAGCTGGCTTGGGTTGAAGGCGCCACCGGCATGGATGGGACATCTCCCACTTCCAATTATCCCATCATTCCCACAAGCAAGAACTCCCTCAGCTCCCATCCCAAGGACCCCTTGGATAGGATAACGCCATTCCCATGTCCTTATCCTGACAGGCATCGGCTCCAGGACTGTGGAATGCCTGGAAACGTTCGTTGGGTGCGAAGACCGTGGTGGATCTCCAAAGGTTTCCATTTGCTGGCTTGGAGAAGGAGCTGGGAATTGCGCTTGCTCAACGGATCCGGAAGCTCATCTATGGGCAGGATGAGGCCCCTGTGACACCATCTGGACCTCCTCAGGTAGGAGAGCTCCTTGAAGGAAAAAGAAGGAGAAGGTCCTTCTAGAAGGT